ATTAATTCTGCTTTGAAGTGCAGAGCCTCAGAGCTTCCAAGTCTGCTCAATGACACACAGTTCTCTTAACTAGACAAGCACCATGCAGCCCAATAGCACCACCATGTGGCTTTATAACATAAAAGCTGTGCAATCAGTTTTCGATATTAGGCATTGCAGGATGTTAGGAGCTGAATCCAGGTGCTGGAAATTTCAAATATATTATTTGGAGTTAATCTGTATAGTAGTCATGAAATCAAAATACTCCTATAAAACTCTTCTAAAAAGATATACATGTCCACTATATATAAGTTATTTAATTGCAATATGTACACATATAATCCTTCAGTAATTTCTTGCACAATCAGTGGTCATATTAATGGCCACTATACTATTTCCGTTTAAAATATTAATTTTCTATACTACAAAAATGTTACTTGAGCCTACTAACATAATTGTGGTGTGTATCCTATTCAGAAACAAATTGTGTAATGTAATGTAATTGTCTCAGTTAAAACTTGACAGAGGCAACACTAGTCATCTAGCATCTCAAATATCTGCTGGTTAACTACTGAGCTGAATTATCTCAGTTTACCTCAGATAAGTTAAAGCAGAATCATTCTTGAAGTTCTGCTTAGAAAAAGGCTTTCAATGTCACTCATCTATTCTCACACAATTCAGTAAAACATTTACAAATTTTCAAGATATAATTACACTACTGTAGGCCAGCAAAAGAGTGAAACAATCAAAACAGTAGTATCATGTTTACAAATGAAATCAAAGCAGTACAAAACCACAAACATAAATATTCTGAATGGGAGCAGTTTTTGTGACTAGTTCTTTAATGGCAAAATAAACTAGCCAAGTCCTATTTTTAAAAAAACTTTAAAATCAAATCTGTAATATCACTTCATTTACACTCTCAACAGATTTGAAGGAAGAGCTTTGTGCTTTAAATGTGCTGCCATTTGCTATTTTCTGTATGCACTAAGCCATCGTGTTCTTTTTGCTACAGAGGAATTGTTTATTATTTTGCGCTCATTGAGGTAACAAGCCTTTTCCCACTTTGAAAAGTGGCAAGCTACAAGTACTTGTCTGTGACCCACTGATTCAGCTGCGAGGAAATCCTGCAGGGTTTTTAACTACGTCAATTACTAACATATCTCTCAAAGGTCCAACGCCCTAATGTCTGAGATTTACTATTCAAAATTGGAAGTGCCTACCAGCCAGCAGCTATATCACCCTGCAACTCACCACCCACTAAAGCTAAGCAGGTGTG